CTGGAACACTTTGAATGAAGAAACTGTTGGCGAAGCAAGTGCCTTCGATTTCTCTTAGGATTTTTAGCAAACCCTCAGCTATCAACGGGTTTGATGTGCCTTTACCGATTACCGTTTGAATCGGGCTAGCCATACTATTCTCCTCAGTATGATGAGTTGTCGAACAGTTTCTCTTAGGCTTAATGCTAAGATTTCTGCTCTAACCCTTAGCCATCTGGGGCGTGGGTTTCAACCGTTTAAGCAAGGTCATTCTTTTGGCTTTGTTCGTAATTTTACCTTTGAGGGCGAATGCATCGTCAAGGCGAAATTAATTTTTGAGAGCCAATTCTCGCGCGACTCGTGGGGTTATGCCCAGTATTTGCAGGCGAAACCCTTCCTTTTGTAGGCGGAACCGGATCTGACGAGAGATGAGCCACGCGTCTGCTGACAGAGCCTCGTGCTTCCCAGCTAAGACATTGGATCGTGGCGATCGTGACTTGACAGCACGATCCTCGTGCGTTTCGCCCTGCGACGTATCGTGGCCGTGGTTCTCGGACTCAACCGTCGGATTCCAACGCTAATCTCGGTCCCTTCGATGCACTGAGGGTGATCTGGGCCGTCGAATTTGATCGTGGCCCCGTTTCCTGTCCGTTAGGGTTTTCGCCTTTCGAGGGCAGTCGTGGTCACGTGGGCAACTCCGCCCTTCTAAATCAGCCGTTTTCCTCCATTGGGATTTACCGTGCTTTCAAATCTCGAAAGGGAACATCCAAGGAAAGAATTCCCGCTTCCTCTTACAATGGCTCCGAAACCTAAGAGGTGCAAAGTGAGGGGTGCAGGTCCCGGACGTTACTCCGACCGTCTCTCTGCCGGCATGCCTGCTGGTGCTCTGGAGTCGTGCCCAGGTACGTTGATGGATTCGTTGGGCGATCCCTTGCAGGCCTTAGGCGTCGGATTTAGGGAGATGAGTGTTGCTTATTTCCCCGATTTGGGGCAAAGTTTGCCCTATTTTGCCTTTAGAGGATGAGTACTGTCCCCCCGTCCCAAAGCTCAAAGTGACCATGTTCGCCGTCACTTGCTTCTGGACCTTCTCTTTCTTCAAGACCCCCGCGTCGTAGAGGGCCTGGAGTTTGTCCTTGAGGACGTAGCACTTGGTTGTGTGATGCCCAAGGAATCTGTGATATGCACAGTAACTTGGGTCACCGGTTTTGTCCGCCTCCTCAGGCTTGACGGCTTCTGGCAACTTAATTCTGGCAACTTAATTCGCCCACTCTTGAGTAGAGTGTCGAGAGTCGCCACTACCTGGTCTTCTTTGAAATCATATTGCCGCTGGGGGCGTGGTTCAAATTGCCTGGGTTTCGGCTTTTGAACGAACTTTGGCGCCGTGGCAGAGTCCACGGCCATAGCCTCCTTTCCTTTCGATCGAGGAGGGTTCTTTGGCGCCGCTAGTTCTGCTGCTCCCTTTTTGGACTGTGGCTCTTCGGCCTCCAGCCTCTTGATCATATTTTCAACTTGCTCGCCTTGGCGAACAAGTTCCTTCCAAGTCCGGGTTTCAACTGCCCCTATTTTGGACAGGATGTGGATCGACAGATTGTTGCGGCACATCTCGATCAGTGTCGCCTCGGAAACTTGGTCCCGACAGTGGACTGATCGATTTCGAAATCTCTTCACGAAGTCGTTAACTGACTCCGACTTGCGCTGCTTCTCCGCGAGGAGAGTGGCCATTGACACTTCCGTGTCGTCGTCGAAGAAGCGGGCGAGGAAAAGCTTTTCAACGTCGGCCCATACCTTGATGGAGCCGGGCTCCAGTTTGCGGAACCACTCAAAGGCCACCCCCTTGAGGGTACCTATGAATAGTCGGGTGAGAATGGCGTCGTTCCCGGTGAGGAATCCGGTCTGCGCCATGAAGTAATAGATATGTTGCGAGGGTGACCCCTTGCCATCGAACTGCACCAAACTGATTGGTTTGAACTTCGCCGGGTATGGGACCGTGTCCCATTCGATAGGGTAGGGACGTACCACCCCCAGCTTGTTCATGTTTTGCTGAAGCTTCAGCGCGTTCAGTTGGTCCTGGAACTCGTCGAATCTTTTGTCACGGGTGCTATCCGCGGTGTGCGACGTTCCTATCGATGTTTTGGAGGAGTAATCGGACTGTCGATCACCCTCCGTCTCAGCCGCTGGACGGTGAGGTGGTACCCATTCTTTATCCCTAGTCTGCCGGGGCAAGGGACGTTGGGTTCTCTTCTTTTTCTTCTTGCTCAGCAGTTGCTCCATCATCTCTCTTAGAGAGTCGATGGTCGCCTGCTGTGCCTCCAACTTTTGAGCCGTTGTCTGCTCGTGGTTGGTATCGGTCATGTGCGCCCTCGCCTGCGCGTCTTGACTTGAGCGCGAGGTCTGGGATGTGGCCGCCGCCGAATGAACCTCATCTTCGCCGCAGGAGGGAGGTATTAGGGTGGAATAGTCAAACCCAATACTTACCCCCCGGCGACTACGGGTTCGCTGGAATATGCCTTCCTGTCGGCGTCGAGCGAACCGGGTGTTAGGTCTTAAGACGGAGTCCGAGTCTGGCGAGTCGGAGAGTACCGCCTTCCCTTTATCCGTCATGTTGACTGTGGCGGATGAGAGTTCCCGGTCGTCAGCAGCGCGTCTCTTCTGGTGACGGCGCCTTCGACGGGAGGGCCTCGGTCGAGAGGCCTGTTGAGAAAGCCTCTCAAATACCGAAGGTTTCGCCGTTCCAACGCATTGGCAGTCGGCGAGGACCGTGTGGATGAGTCTCTCGCAATGACACTGAGGATTCGCCTCGTGAATAGTGCGTTTGCGAGTCAAGAATTCTCTGAGGTCTTCTACGGGTGGTTGGTGACAACCCCCGGCCTCAGAAGAGTCGCTCTGGTGAGCTGACGAGAGATTTTTGGGCGCTCTCTCTGGCGCGTGTTGGGTGGAACGCCTTGGTGTTGGAGTCAGGCGATCTCGCCTTGACTGGCGAGTCTTCGCGTTTGAGCGAACTCCAGTACGTGGGCGAGTTTCGACCCCATGTTTAGAAGAGCGGGTTCGGGAGGAACCGCCTATTTCCTTTCCTTTACGTTTATCCGCCAAATGATTATGGCGAGGCTCGCCAGCCTTCGAGGATTCGCCTACTTGGGTAGGCTCGTATGCTCGGTGTGGTTTGTTCGCATCAGGGATATGACCTGAGAAGCGAAGTCCTCCTGAGCGGATGGCTCTGCTGTCCTTGGTTGACGCTCCTGATTTGGAGGGCCTTCCGAGGTCGGGTAGCTTGCCTTCCCGTCTAGTGTTTCTCGGGCCTGTGTGATGGTTCAGGCCATTATGAGAAATGGAGGTTTGGACCCCCTGTCTGACGGGTGTTTGCCGTCGCTGTTGGTTAGTTCTCCCAGCGGGGAGAACGTCACCGTGGGTTGTGGCATTGCGGTTTGTGCCGGAGTGAACCGGCGCTTCCTCCGAGGTAGGTGTCTGTGTGGACCGCTTGGCGATCCATCTGGCAGCCCCTTGCCTCTTGCGCTCGATCTCTGGCTTGGCCTTGATCGATCGCGAGGGAGTGGGCTCCTCCGATGAGACTCGGTTGGAACCCTCGGGTGCGGAGGCTTTGACCGTCTGAGGTCGGCCTCGGCGCACAGCTCTGTGGCGTTTGCGGGACGCATTGCCACCCGAGGAGGAGGAGGACAAGTATTCTTCGTACTTGGCCTGGTCGAACTCGATTTCGAGGGACTCTACTGTCGTCCCGATAGTAACCTCATCAAATTGAGCCACCACCATTTCACTCGATGAAACAGCTGCTCCCACTGTGGTCGCCATCTTCTGTAGGGTGAAAATTTGATTCTTCCGAAGAAAGGAGTTTCGTTTGTATTTATAAGAAAGCTTATTACAAACTAACAAATCAAATGTTTACAACAGAAGCAGAGGGAAGGCCCTCTTTGTTTTTGTGTGGGGACTTTAGGTGGCTATAGGACGCTTCGCTCGATGGTCGGGTCGAGTCTGCTTCCCTTGGACCGTTTGAATGAGGTTGCTGGAGAGCTTCAGTTCGCAGTAGAAGCTCGGGGCAATGGAGTTCGGGTCTGCTTGGTTCGTCGGCGATCGGAGCCCGGAACTAGGCAGCAGTGCTGTAATGCAAGGATTTGCTAACAGCTTGGTCTCAACTCTTTTTTCTCCAAGTTTTGCGACCTCTCTTCCATCGTGCTGGAAGGGGTTTTTAAATGAAAGAAGGACAGCTTGACTTCTCCTTGAATTGTGGGATGTGACCACATCCTCTTCAGAGACGTCTCGCCGTTCCTCGATACCATGAACGGTCATTCCAGGGATTGTGTTCTATGTCCTGTCACCTACGATGGGAAGGCCCATTCTAGTATGTGAGGCAACAACCGACTGCTATCCGAGTGGATTTGACCAGCATTAATGAACCGCATTTATGAGTTCGCAGATCGATGAAGTGTCTGTCCGATCACTTGTACTGTGCGTGACCGCCCGGCGTGCTTTGAGCACGATGCTTTCTCCTTTCCGGCCAGGAGAGGCGGTGAAGTAGGTACACAGCACTCGAGTGGGTCTAGCCAGTTTGCCGAGTGCCGGCGGATCTACCCCCAGACTCAGACAACCGAGATGAGTCGCATTTATGAATACTCAGGTTGACTCGACACCTGTCCAGTCCCTTCGCGCTGTACGCACTGCGAGCGGCCGTTTGACAGTCCTGGGGTACTGTGCTCTCTCTCCCTTCGGGTCGAGAGGGATGGGAAGGTCCATCTCAGCACGTGGGGTAGTGGATACCCAGCTGTACTGACGGTTTTGGGGCTTGCTGGCGGATTCGACTCCGAACTCGGGCAGGCGAGTTGAGCGAAGAGCGAATTTCCGCCATCCTGATCGACCCTGACTCATGCTGGCGAGTCGACCGTTAGGCGAACCTGGACTTGAGTACAGTCGACGTCTACGCGGTTTAGGTCCGTGCCAGAGAATTGGGCGTGCGAACTCTTCTCGTAGGCAAATTTCCTGTAGACCCATAGAGGTATTTTTTACCGTCTACAGCGTGCAGTGCAACTAGACTCGAGATTTGCTTATGCTCATACACTATGCGGCCATGAGTATGACTTTTATTCTCTTGCATTATTTCATTACAGTTTTCCTGTATACAATAGGACATTTGTTTTATACTATCAGGCTGTTTAAAAAGCAGTCCCATCTTCTACCTTGGCGGAGGCAGCTCTGAGGCCTCACATTATAACGTCTAGGAGCTCCTATTGAATATAGACGCCTTAAGCCTATTTTGGGTGAATTGGGTATGCCTAAGCTTCTTTCTGACATGACCCTGATGTCTGATGTTTAGCACACTTGATACTGATCTTTGACACCCTCTTGTTATTGGGTGGAAAAAGTAAGTCATGCTACTAAGTGTCGAATTCATAGTAACATGTTTTTACATCCAATCAAATAGTAACACCTTGCCAATGGTCTATAACTTCAAATATTTATGTTCAGTGCTTATAAGATATTGTCAATTTCTCATATCTAAATTACTAGATTAAATTAGTTGTCATATCGAGTTATTTCTTATTACGTATTTACCTACAACCGTTCTTTATGTGACTGTAGATCTGGAATGCATATTTACTGTCATATGTAACCTTGTCACAAGAGCTAGCAGTCTAGATGAAGAACTAGAGATGGCAAAACTCATTTCTGCAAAAGTCGCACAGCAACCGAATGATAGACCCGCTCTGCGCTTGAAAATGTAAGTGAAATGTATTGTCTTCATCCAAGAATTGTTAATTGGCTACTCTCTCTTACACATGTAACATGCTTTGAGCAGCTTATTCAATCTCTACAACCTGTTAGAGAACCCTTACAGCAGGTTCTTTGTTTATACAAAAGCGCTTGACTTGGCAACAATTGGGAAAGTAATTGAAAATATCATCCCTTCTTTTAAAAAGATTGATAGTTTGTTACAAGAATGGAATATTGGAAAAGTGGATCAGAGGGATCTTTTCCTTACCATCTCTAACATTTTGAAGGATAATAAAAGGTACATATTGATGTTAAAAGCTATGTTATTTTCATTTCCTTCTGTAGTAGCTATATAGAGATTCTGCTTTCTCAATTTGCAGCATGGCCAAAGATTCTTTTAATTTCCTTAATAAATACCTAGCAACATTTTCAAGTGAGGATGAGGACTCATATGCAACTAACGAAACTAAAGAGGAAGCAGTGCGGGCTATTATAGAGTTTGTGAAGTCTCCTGACTTGTTTCAGGTATCCAATGGTAGCTCTATACTGTATATTTATTTATCCTTTTCTCTCGTAGTATTCCTTTTGTATTACCATATTTCTAGGACTGTTTCATTTCTTCTACGGTTAATTCAAGTAAGTTAAGCACTTCTTATCTAGCCAAACAAAGCCTCTTAATTTTGAGAGGAGCTCTGGTAGTCTAGATTTACCAGAGTCTTGCAGTCTTCTCAGTTTTCCTGATTACTGAGGCCTAGATAGCAAGGGCAAGCTCTTCACATGGGTAACCCGATATTCTATCGATTAAGATAAAGTTGACACTCATAATAGAAAAACAACAGAGCTCTTATGGAAGTTAATTTTAGAAATTGGCAAGAGTTTGAGGATAGAGAAGATTTATTTGTTTCTACTGCTTGTGGTACACAAAATTTTTAGTTTTGTACTAATACAAGAGAGCAACCACAGCAGTCTTTATCTTTTTTGTACTGAAGGTTGATGAGTCCACGCAGTCTCTGATAATGGCTTATTGAATATCTGTGTTCAGAACATGTCATTCATATATACCAACTAACTAATATGTAAAACTACATTATGATGGTTGTAAGAAAAAGACTAAATAGTTAGAATAACAATGTTATCTATGATATTTCAAAGGATCCAATATAGTTCTTCGATATGCAAGTACTAATTATCCAATAAAAAATAAATGAGAGCTAAATTTATAAAAAGCCCGTTGCCAGTGGTCATCGACATGTTTACTTAGATCATTCAGTTGCTTAGTTGGTGAGCATGCATTTCCTTCCCTCAAACTTCTCATCATAATAGCAAACAGTGTTCAAGTTAATCTCACTGGTCCAACATGTTGATCTTAATAGACCAATACTAATTACAGCCCTCCCTAACCATTGGAAGATGGGCTTCATGTAAAGCATTGAGTGTTTATGAGCTGCTATATATGAATAAACCTGTTATGCTATGAAGCACGGACACACATAACATGAAGTCGTGTCGTGTCGTGTCCGTGTCGGACACACGTGTCGAACACACGTATCCTATGTATTTTTTAGGATTTGCCTTCTTTCGGCATGTCGGATGACCGTGTCGGATCCGTGTCTGTCCTATATATCTGTTATGTAGTTTAGTTACTATGATAGCTTTGATCCGCAAACCTATAAAATGTATTAGGCTTATATATGCCAAAAAATTAAAATTCATTCTTTCATAACATAGAATTTTGTGTCTATGTTTTGATATTGAGATATTACTAGAAAATTATGTTGACTATGTCTTTTACTTTGCAGGTCCATGTCATGTGTACAGTACCTATTTTGGAACAAAGCCACCCTCCCTTGATATAGTGAGGATATTCAATTTCAGTAATGAAGTATACCGCAGGTACAGTCCAGCATCCCTTTTACATGCTCTAACCGCATAACAATCGAAGAGGAAAATTATACAGAAACGAGAATATGTATTTTTCACAGTCTACTTATTGAAGTACTGATGCTTATTGATGCAGGATTCTTCAAGCACCATTTTCTGTATTATCTCTATCTCAAAACAAAGTCGCTATTTCCTTTGAAAAGGACCAGAACGTCCAGTCTTTCGAACTGCATTATAATGCCTGTAATGCGTCCTTATTGCCATGTTCTTCTAATGGAGTTGATGACACACATCAGAGAACTTCTTCCTTAGTGCAAAAACCAATACCTGCAGGAAGGCAGGCATCATCAGAAGACATAAAATCATGGAAAGAGAAAGGCTTTACTAGGTAGAAAATTGGGATAAAGTATCTTTAAACAAGATTTTATTGACTGATTGTTACAGTGCTGCATTTTTTTTTGCTTTTCATCTTGCAGCTTGATAGTTGCTGCACCAGAAATGGATGTGGGGAGTATAATTGAAGATTTGCTACCACTTTTATCATATTATGCACCTTTTGCAATTTATCATCAGTACCTTAAGGTGTGTTATGTCAACCTCAAGTTGGGAACTACAATCTCCTTTTGCTATAAGTTCAGAAAATTGCACGATCTGAATAACATGCATGTCTGCGGTGACAAGACACCATTGTTTTTCCAATGTGAATACTCGTAGCAAATTGTATTTTAACATTTTGATGGGTTCAAGTACCACTCAAATAGTCTTGAGGCTTCTATGGAGTTTGTAGATTAAAATATATAGGACTTATACATGGACAGTTTCCGATTGATATCCAGTGCACATATTTGTTTGATAATTTAGATAATATGTGGACAAACTATAAGTACAACTACAATTAAAGATTATTTGTTCAATAAAATTGATCATTGTAGACCAAATTAGTAACCTTGGAATTTGGTTGTCATAAATGAATTGATTTCTTTTGGTGATACTCTTTTTTATGCATTCCGGAACATGATTTACCAGTACAAAACTTAATATTAAAAGTGCTAATGTTTATAAGTAATTTACCTGAATATTGTTACTTTAGTTAATTATGAAGAAAATATCCAAACATATATTGGTTCTTTGTTATATTGGAGCTTTGTCCTATGATATTTATATAGGACATTGAAGCATTTGGAGCAGGTTAAGGACTTCACTCCATGTGAGAGCAGCATCTACGCGTTGATGGGGAAGATTCACAAGAGGCTTAATATGCATGCTAAGGACATGTTCTACTTTGGTATTGCATTGGACCTGAAGCCTCCAACATCTGATGTTGCTGCTATCAAGGTACTGCATTCAGATTTTTTTTGTATGGTCTATCCTTTCCCTTTATTATTTCCCTTTCTTATTTCATATGCCTAAGGTTATCTGAAATGTTGAGATCTATTAAGTTTTAAATTTATTCACGTACTTGTATGGCCTAAACTATTTTCAAGTCCAAGTTAGATAAAAACTATAGGGTTTAATATTGATTTAATTATCTTCCCGTCTTTTTTTTAGAGAAAAAGAAGGCAAGGTGACCTATTCATTGAAAATATATTAAAATATAAAAAATTTACAAGAGGGATGCGAACAGAACTTAAAAAGTCCCATATCCAAAAGTTGATATAACAGTTATAACAGGATGGGGAGCGAACAAATCGTCGTCGTCACTCACCACAAGCTAGGATATAACAGTTGATAGTTCCCCCTTAATTTAGACATGGAATTTTGAAGCCTTCGAACAAAAGCATCACCTGAACATCAGCCATCATAATACTTTACAGAAAAAAAACCAAATAAAGCAAAAAATAAAAAAAAAATAAAAGAAGAAGAAGAAGAAGAAGAATAAGAAGAAGAAGAAGCAAGGCTTAAATTGTATTGGCCGCCGCTAAATCTTCTTCACCCTTTCTACAATTAGCAATTATTTTTAAGTTTTCTCCCTTAAACTTCGAAGAGCAGTGATGTAGAAGACTCTCATTTACTACCAAAAAGACTAAAAATTGCAAACAATTAGTAATCATTTTTGAGCTTCCCCCCTTAACTTCGAAGAGCCATGATGTAGAATTCTCTCATTTACAACTAATAAGGGGTGATAGAGTATGATTATGGACATTTTAGCCAATTATGGACACATGATTAAGCAAATCATGGGGTTTATAAAATACATTCTACTGTAGAAACAATGAAACTGAGGCAGTAAGCTATTCAAGGAATTAATTCTTCATCATTAAATGGCTGTATTTGTTGTGCTTTTTTATTTATGACCTATTAACATTTATATATAAATTTCAGTCTGCGATGGAGAAATTGCATTTCCCAAATGAATTGGAGGACAACTTATAGATTCATTTCCTCAAAACTCAGAAGGTGCAGCAAGGGCTCAATTGGCTTGGCCGCATGCTTGGGCTTTCAGACTATCTTCTTGAAAGCAGACTTTCAAGATACTATTGAAGACAGCCCATTCTTGAAGAAAGCGGCGGCTAACCTCTAACATTGTATTACTCGTCTCAAATGTAACATTAATCATTCAGTTTAGTAGCTTTAGTGAGTCATCGAGTGAAACATTTGTACTGAGAGCATGACTGATAATGCATGTATAATGTTTGGACGCTTACATCACAGTGAAAGGAACTGCATAAATACAGAGGAAAACAGTGCATTGTTGGTAGATGACGGCTGTTTGCCTTCTTAACTTGTAATTCTTTTACATTCTTATAAGTTTCTCTCGAACGGTCAAATGTGTTCCATTTAATTTAAATCTAATCGATATTGTTTTCTGCAACGAGAATTCACTTATGATAAATTAATGTGAGCCCTTAACCAGATTACAAATTTGCATTGGCCCCTAATCAATCAATAAATGTAATTTAATTGTTCAAATGATGAATGTTTAGATTATGTCTATATGTTTTATCCATTACTTACATTTCATAATTTTATAACAAAACATTATAAATAAAATTATAAATTTAAAACAAAAAATGAAAACTTTACCACGTGCATTGCACGTGCAATCCAACTAGTAAACCGGAAACATGGAACTTTAGAACTTAGTCCCAAATGCATAAATTAAGGTTCATCTTTTTGAAATTGTCATCATCTATGCCATTTCCCATCAACATAGAGTTATAGAGTCACATTACACTAAGAAATAATTAACTGGACAGTTAAATTTAGTGTCCAAAATCAACACAATATAATACATCAAGTAGACTGATATGTAATGATACAATTTCAATAATAAGAACATAATACAGTATGAAATAATAATTACACATCACCATTACGAAAATCAACACACTACATACAACTTCAAATAATAAAGTTAACTGGACAATTATAACCAATGTCCAAAATCACCACTACAAAATCAACATGAAACAATCGAGTACCCAGATTTAAAACATTACAACTTCGATAATAAGGACATCCTAGACACATATATATTAAGAGTTTACTTCCTGGGTAAAAGTATTTTCTAGCAAATTTTCTGATTCCTCTGAGATAAATGCAATAACGATCTTTGCTCTTAGAAGTTCACAATCATTCTGATGAATCAATAGAGTCATACCATTAATGATGAAATATATGTATCTCATCATGAAAATGCCTCAATCTAAGCTCCTACACAAACAAATGCCACAATCAATAATTATATGGTAAAATAATGATATTTAATAAAAACTAAACTAATACACTATAAGTTATAGTCACACCAATCATGTTGTCGAACCTGTCACGTTTCTATACTATACCCTGTTAGACCCTAGAGGGGGGGTGATTAGGGTCTTATGCTAATATAATCCGATTTTATGCCAATTAAAACTTACTAAAGAATTATTCTTGCAAGATAGATATACAATATGATATGAGCGAGAATATGCAATATGAATAAAGAGATATATCCTAACAAAGAGGTATATGATGAAATATATGTAAGGATATATAAATTAACACAAAAGTAAACAATCAAAACTAAAGATACAATTGTGATAGGGCAATATAAACAATGCAAACACATAATATGATCACGGAGTTCGGACCTTCTATCCTACGTCTCCGCTCCCCACTCCCGGAGAGAAATTCACTAACATAAACCGGGTTTTTTATGCTCACCCGATTAACGTTTACACCATACAATAACGGTTTTCTAGCTAACCAAAAACTTTACAATCCACACTCTTGTAATCCTACTTTACACCCTCTTAAGTGTTGGTCTCTAGTCCATATCTCCCTCAAGTGTTAGGAATTACAATATCTCTCTAGGCATTACCACCTACTTCACTCCTCTTAGGATGACCCCATCTCTCACCACACACTCCTCTCGGTGTACAAGTGTATTACAAAGTGATCTACATAAATAAGGCTCACAAATACAAATTTATTCTCTACAATAGATGAGAACTCAATTAAGCTCACTCTCAATTGTTACAACTCCCAAAAACCTAATTATACAATGTATGTAAATACAATAAGCTCAATGGTTGTGTGTGTAAGCAATGAGAAAATCAATTATAAACTCAATGTAAACCCCTAGCTTGATAAAAATGATAAACAACAAATAATTAATACAAAGCTAGTATTGAGTTTAGAAATTCTTCTCTGAAGAAACAAGATGGAGGGATGGATTAAAATGGAGCTCAAACAATGTAGATGATCTCCTCCACTTGTGAAAGCTTCTTCACAAACCAAACAAACTTTAAACCAAAACTTAAACATACTTAAACACCCTTTAAAAACTTGTTTAAACTTTTCTTAGATAGTGGGAGAGGTAAATGCAATGGGGTATTTATAGCAACCCAAGACATCAGCCAAAACCCTAAGGAAATGACCAAAAACTCACACAATAAACAGAATCTGGAAATAGCTGTTACTGTGTAACAGACACTTTATGGGTCGACTCATAAAAATCATGGGTCGACTCATAACCTAGCCATTATAGGCTAAAAATAGCTTATGGGTCGACTCATAAAATTCATTGTTAGGTCTCATGTTATGAGCCTATATCTTCTAATCTTGTTTTGATGATCATAAACAACTCCTAACAATGTGTGTCGAGTGTTTGCATTTGTTTTGTTAGGTAATCTACACAAATATCCAAGTTGAAGGTTGGATGGATTGAGCCTACACGATCACATCAAATGAAGGTTGGCGGAATAGTAGAATGAAGCCATTACACATCAAGTCATATTCAAGATCAAGCTTCATCCGCAACCAAGACGAGCATATTAAAGATCCATCTAGCATTGGTATATTAGTTGTTTTTGTAGCGTATATTGTGTGAATATATTTTAATCTTAATATTTACAAAATGAGTTTATTTGAGAAAACAATGCAATATTGGTTTATTAATCTTGTTTACATCACATTCATGCTTTATAACGTTTATAAAAACATTTCATAAAGTTTCTACATGTTCTTACATGTCAAACTTTATTTTCAAGATTCATCAAAAACATGTATTATGTATATTTTTAATAAACGTTGAGTTTTCACAAATATGAGGACCTTTTCGCAAAATTCCTTTTCAAATAAGTTTTTCAAAATGTTTATAAACTGTTTACAAAGTTTCATGTTTTTTGGTATTTATTTACTATTTTTACAGAGCCTTGAAACTCTATTCCAAAATCGATTCAGGCTGATAACATGTTATCAGTCGACTGACCAGTCGACTGATGAAGTCAGTCAACCGATGTGTCGACTGATGAAAGTTCCTGGAATCATCATTTTTCTCTCTGTTCTGTTTTGGTCGACTGACCAGTCGACTGCGAGATCGTCAGTCGACTGAAATGATCATCAGTCGACTGAAATGATCATCAGTCGACTGATGAGCTGGATATCGTATACAACGTTCAGCTAATCAGTCGACTGATGCTTCGCGTCGGTCGACTGATGGCCTGTAATGGCTATTTTTCCAGTTTTCGTTTTTTTATCATTTTGCTGGATTTCACTTAGGTTTTGAGTTTTGTTTCTTCATCCTATATATACCCTATACCATTTCACTTCTGAAATATTAAGAGAAGTTTTAAAACAAGTTTAAAAAGAGTTTTAGTTTGTTTTAAGTGTTTGTTTACAAAATAAGTTTGTGAAGATTGTTTTACAAGAAGAGGAGATCAATTTTAGTTTGGGCTTTCAATCATCCTATCCCTCTCTTTGTGAAGATTGTTTTACAAGAAGAGGAGATCAATTTTAGTTTGGGCTTTCAATCATCCTATCCCTCTCTCTTGTGATTAGAGAAGTGTTTCTAAACTCATATCTCTAGCTTGTTTATGCTTCAA